GTCCAGCCTTGCAGACCAAGCCTGCAAGGCCCATGTTCAAATAATATGCTCTCATTCTCGAGGGGCCCCTGCTTCCCCCATCCCTCCCCAGCCACATGGCTGGACTGAAGCTTACACGGGTTTTGATATCCAGGGAAGAGTCTAGTCCAGTAGGTCACCTGTCTGATGGCCACCCCTTAAATGCAGGTGGCATGCCCCGAAAGAATCAACCTGCCTCTGAAACCCTCCCTGGTCCCCACAGAGGGACGGTTGCCCCCCTCCCTCCCTGCACCATCACCAAACACAGATCACAACCTGTACCCTTCTTTCCTGTCCCACCGCGGCCTCAACAGCAAAGCAGTGTCCTGTTACATGATGGGGAGTGGGGCGAGATGTTAGGGGAGGCCCGGCTCAGCCACACTGGTGGAGGGCATTTCTGTCCCTGTAGTATCCAGCAGCTGCCTGGATCCAGTATGTCTACACCCCCTCAGAGGCCCGGTTTCTGCACTGCCCCGCCTCTCTGCAGTAGAGTGTGGACCCTCAGTGTAAGACAAGCAGTGCCCAGAAGCTGGGTGTGGAGTCAGACAGAGCTGGACTAAACCCCAGCGTCTCTTCTTTGCAACTTTGGGCAACTTCTGAACCACCCTGAGCCTGTTTCCTCTTAGGAAGAATGGAGGTGATCATGGAACCCACCCTCGGGGTGAGTGTGATGTGATAGATGGTGTGAAAATGCCTGGCACAGAGCGGGCACTCAGCACACACTAGCTCCCCTGCTTACTCCTGTGCCCCTCGGCTCCTCGGAAAGAGAAAGCTGCTCAGCGGAGAGAAGAAGGATGCAGGGAGAGGGGAGGGCTCCAGGAGAAGGGAGGGTGTGGAGAGAAGGGAGGGTGGGCCCTACTCCCTGTTTAGGCCAAACTACACTTCACCAATCTCCAGTTTCCCTTGTGACCCCCCAGCTCCTTGGGGCACCCACATGCTCCCCTGAATCCCAGCCCCCCACTTGTGGGCACTAAGGGAGCTCAGACTGCAGAAACATCCAGGCTGGCTCCAGCCCGGCCATTCTGACCACATACTCGTGCTAATTCTGCCAGAAAGACCAGCCTGTGGTTAGCAAGGGCAGCCATTATGGTTTCCAGAAAATTCCTTTGAGCAAAGAGAAGCTGTTTGCCATTCCTGAGGCCCCTCCAGCCTGTACAAATGTGGCTTTCCAATTAAGCTGGGGCTGCTCCCAGATCTCTATCTGCTTTCCTTCTAAAGTAAGAAAAATCCTAGAGCAGTAGGCACTCCTTTTTATTTTTCTAAATCACTTCCAGTTATTTTTTTCTGATGACCCAAGTAGTGCCTTTTCTGTTATCCAGGAACATGGTGGAGGGGCTGGTTGGGGTCAGATGTCTAGGGGACAAAGTTGGGGATCTCACAAGGAGAAACGAGTTTGGGGGTAGGATGGCAAGCTCCTCTCTGGATGGATTGAGCAAGAGGCACTTTGGAATTCTTGAATCTGCCTCTGGGCAGGAATGTCTGGGAGAGTTGGATGCCCGAGGCTTGTTCTCAGGTGTGGGCTGGAGTGGCAGACTTGGAGTTGTGTGGGCTGGAGTGGCAGACTTGGAGTTCCTTGGCACAGATAGGACATCACATCATGGGCTTGGATGGGGTCTCTGGGACAGTGTGTGGAGTTGAGAGAGGAAAAGGCCAAGAATGAAACAAGGAAGAGAAAACCTGGAGAAGAGAAATTATCAAAGTGTGGCAGGAACACAGAGGGGGACAAGACCAAGATAGAGGGATTCAGTGAAGTCGGGGAGGAGGGGGCTTCAAGAAGGGGCAGGTCAACTGCATCATGTGGCCAGAGAGCTCAGTTCAGATGAGGCCCCAAATGGTCCACTGGACATGGTACTTGAGATGTCATCAGGCAACCAGGAGAACACAGCAAAAGTGACATTATGCCAGTTCTAGGTCCAGTCTTGAAGACTGGCACATTTCACTTCCTCTTTCTTAAAATAGGCTCTCTTGGGGCCCTCCCTCTCAGACCCAAGCATCCATGCTGTGAGAATCCCAGACTAGGTTATGCGTAGCCTCTCCAAGCAACAGCCCTGGTGGAGTGGCCAGCCCAGAGTCAGCATCAAATTCCAGTCCTGTGAGTGATACATCTTGGGGACTCTGACGTAGTCATGTTTGTTTATGACTGCAGCCTCATCCAGAAGAACCTCCCAGCTGAGCCCAGTCAACTCATAAACTCATGAAATAACAAAATGGTTGGTTTTCACAAGCCAAAAAAAAAAAAAAAAAAAAAGTGTCATCAGAGATTCCACCAGAACAACTTTAATGGCTCGATGGGGATAGACCCCTAACCAAGAGGGATAAAGCATGAACAAGCATGTGTATTGTGTGCACATAGGCATATGTGCAGGGAGGAGAGACAGTGTTTAGAAGGACTTCATTGAGGAACTTGACTTTGGAAGGACTGCTCATTCCCCCTCACTACTTCAAAGGTCCCATCTTTGCCAGGCCTCAGGTAACTTTCCTACCAGGAAAAGCCCACCCACAGCATGAGCAAGTGGCTTCATCAAAGATCTTGACCCTGTGATCAAGCAGCCTCAGAGCCTTAGGCAGGGAGCAGCAGCCTCAGTCCCCAGCCCTTCTACTTAAATTATTGGGTCTCAGCTGGGTGCAGTGGCGCACGACTATAATCCCAGCACTTTGGGAGGCCAAGGCAGGTGGATCACTTGAGGAGTTCAAGTCCAGTCTGGTCAACATGGCAAAACCCCATCGCTACTAAAAATACAAAAATTAGCCAGGCATGGTGGCACACGCCTGTAATCCCAGCTACTCAGAAGGCTGAGGCATGAGAATCACTTGAACCGGAAAGGTGGAGATTTCAGTGAACTGAGATCGTGCCACCGCACTCCAGCCTGGGTGACAAAGCAAGACTCTGTCTCAAAAAATAAATAAATATATATATATATAGGGTCTCAATTTCCTCCTCTCCAATGCGGGGCTAATGGCACTTCGCCTACCAGTTTCTCAGGGCCATTGCTGGAAAGAAATAAAATGAAAGATATAAAAACTATCAAGGCAAAGGCTAATGTAAGAGATTCTTCTGATTCCTATTCAAAGGGAGGAGGAGGTTGAGGGAGGAGGAGGTTGAGGTCCAACCAGAAGCTGGCGGCCTCCTGAAGCTTCGACAGCAGCTTCTCTAAAAGCAAGCTTAGGAAGATCAAGGCACCCACAGGGCTTTGAATCTCACGAACAACCTCTGGAAGCTCTTCCATTCTGCTCAGATTGACATTGTACTAAAGAGCCTCCCTTTGGCCCCTTTGAGGGCTTCTTGGATTTGCAGGGAAAGTTAGAGACTGCTTCTGTGACCAAAATCAGAAGCCATTTCTATAGCACCTGCTAGAGGAGCTGGCTTCCCTCTCTGTCTATCATAATCCCATTTTCTGCCTCCAATATCTGTGGCTTGAAATCAGTGCTGCCTTCTGGCATGGAGGAGAGAGCACCAGAAAATGAGCCTAAAACGTCAGAAGTTCAAAAAAAGAGAAACAAAAAACATTAGCACCTTTATCCTATGGACCTGCAGGCAGCATCCTGCACCAGGACTGTGAGGAAGCCAAGAGCAGGCATAAGATGCAAAACAGAGTAAAATAAATAAAACTCATGCATCACGTTAGGGAGAGGGTCCACGTGGCCGACCAATGACAGCAGAGCAACCCCTCCTGACGGCTGCAGCTTTAGGGGGCCTTCAGAGTGGTTTCCATGGCACCCGTGCCTTCATAATCCTCACCCAAGCAGCTCCCCTTCAGCTCACCTTGTGTCACCAAACGGGAGGAGAAATGAAGTAAGTGTGACAAATATGCTGATATCCAGAGAGAAAGAGAAGGCGGGGGAAGGAGGCGGGCAAGCCCAGGGGCTTCCTCCAGGGCAAGTAGCTGAGGTCCCTGCCTGGGATTCTGAGGGCATTTCTGGGGGACCAGGTCTAACCAAAACTCTGATTTAGAAAAATCCAGGGACTCAAATACCCAAAGGGTTTGGAGAGAAAGGTGATCTAAGCTCCTGTGTGCAGATGGCTGGGTCTTACACAGCAGTTCCCTGGGAACACAGAACCCTGAGGGACCAGGCTCCATGGCCACCATGGTCAGGTCTTATTGTGCTCACTGCCCCCCAGGCCCCCAGCAGAAAGTTCAGCCTTTATCTCCATGCTGGCATATGAGCTGTGTGGCCTGTATTAGCTGTGTGACCTCACAAAGCCTGTGCCCATCTCTCTGAAAAGATATTGGGTTGTTCTGAGTATTGAAAATCCTATATTTAAATGTTCCCCACTCATGCCTAGGACATAGAAGGATTGCAGAAAGCTGTAGTTTTTTAAAATACCCATTTCATTGAAGTACAATTTACATGCAATGAAACCCACTGATTTTAAGTGTACCATTTGATGGATTTTAACATGTATATATAGTCATGGAACCACCACCCAATCAAGATAGAGAATGTTTCTATGATGCAAAAAAGTCCCTCCTGGCCCTCTGCAGTCAATCTTCTCCCCACATCTTGACCCCAAGCAACCACTGATGGGTTTTCTGTCCCTAAAGCTCTGCCTTTTCCAGAATGTCATACACACAGAGGTCTCTGTGTCTGGCTTCCTTCACTTCTCACAATGCTTTCAAGGCTCACCCACATTGCTGCATGTACCAGTAGCTCCTTCCTTTTCCTTGCTGGATAGCATTCCATCCTTTGGATTAAACAGTAACTTTCGTGTGTGTGTGTGTGTGTGTGTGTGTGAGACAGAGTCTTGCTCTGTTGCCCAGGCTGGAGTGCAGTGGCCTGATCATAGCTCACTGTAGCCTCGACCTCCTAGACTCAAGCAATCCTCTTGCTTCAGCCTCCTGAGTAGCTGGGACTACAGGTGTGCACCACCACGCCCAGCTAATTTTTTTTTTATTTCTTGTATTTTATTTCCTGGTTTTATTTTTTTTTTTTAGAGATGGGGTCTCACTATGTTGCCCATGCTGGTCTCAAACTCCTGGTAAACTGATCTTCCTACCTTGGCCTCTCTAAGTGCTGGGATTAAAGGTGTGAGCCACTGCACCCAGCTAATAATAACTTTTTCAATATTTGATTATGTTTAATGATACTTGAAGCCCACCCTGAGTCCTGTTCCCCTGTATAATACTCTGCTGTTTCTTCTTGGGTTCATCTCAGAGGTATCATCATGGTCACACTTTCCTGGCATGTTCCTGAGCTTTTTTCTTCACTCAGACCCAATAGTACCTACTGGTGGGGAAAGGGGTAGGGAAGGGGAAGGGGTCGCCCACCCAACCCAGACTCAGCCCCCATCCCCTGTGAAACTGTGCCCACCCACCGTGGCTGCACCCATGGATGTCACCAGTGCGGCAGCAGTGCAGGCGTGGCCTTGCTGTAGCAGGCCTGGTCCACCTAATGCTTTTCCAGCTCCTGCCTGACCTTTTCCAAATCTGTCCTTTCTTTCTCAGCCAGCCCTAGAGCCCCACAGAGAAGGTGGTGTGGAAGGTCCCCACAAAAGAATCCAGCCCTTCTCCATCCACTGATTTCTTTTCTTTCATTCATTCAACAAGAAATTTTTGAGGGGCTTCCTGTGCCAGGCACAGGCCAGGGGCTGGGTGGCAGGCTCCAGGGCCGCAGGGCCCAGCCAGGACCACCTCCATCACCTCTCCTTCCCCGCCCCGGACTCGGCCCAACAGGCAGGACTGAAATGAAACCTTGCCCCTCCAGCATCCTCCAATTTCTTGCTCTTAGATCAGACCCTACACAGCAGCAGGCAATTGAAAAGGACTTCCGGGTGCCCGCTCACACTTTCATCCTTCTTTTCTCTCTCCCTTTTTTCATCTTCTTTTTAAAAATGCTCTTTAATAGCGGGAAAGTTAGCATGAAAAGGAGAGAAAATGAGGCTTGAAAAGAATGTGTCTGATGTGCAGCAATTTGTTCACCTGCGAGAGGTTCTTCCCCTCCTGAACCTTGCTGCTGGGGGGCCCAGCGCTGCCAGGCGGCAGGAGGTGGGAGGCGGCTGGGAAGCTGGAGGAGGCCCTCCCTTCTGCCCTTCTGAAAGCAGAGGCAGGAGGTGGGTCAAGGTAGGAGATTGACCTCACGACAGCAAGTAAAGTCAGGGTCATAGGAGCCCAGGGTCACCTGCCATGTCCCTCTGGCACCTGTTGGAGCTACACTAGAGACCTGGAGAATTGTTCACCATAAGGCATTTCCTTTCCTATCTTAAGGCAAGAGCCTGGTGTCCTGCGTGGTGGGGAAAGGGGGCCTAGAGTCAGGGAATGGGGTCCCAGCAGGGCAGGTTCAGGGCCTGGTCACCCCAGGACTCGGGCCACCATTGCTCCTTCCCTCCTGTTTGGGCTCCAGCCACGTGCCCCACTGACCTCTGGAAGAACCAGTCAGGACCCAGCTAAGGATCCTTCCCCGAGGATCCCAACTGGGTTTGGGGTTTCAAGAGAGCCTCAACCAGCCTCCATCCACTCTGCACTGGACTGACCCTGCTGCCTTCTCCCCTTACTCAATGAGAAAGCTCAGGACCCACACACAAGACAGAGCCTGCAAGAGAAGACCCCCGATGGGCTCCTTTCCTGCAAAGGAGACTGTTCTTTGGCTCCTGTCATGAAAGGCAGGGAGGCAGGGAGTCTGGGCCAAAGTGCCCACAGGGTAGGGGCTGCTAGAACTTGTTTCCCTGGGAAATGACAGAGGGGTGCGACGCCAGTGAGCCTGGACTCTTGACAGGCTGGACGGCTCAATGGTTAGACGGTGGGCTCTGGGCCAGCCTGCCCGGGTTCGGATAAAATCACATCAAATCCATTTGCTGCTTATTAGTTTTGTGGCCAGGACTGGAACCAGACAGAAACTGGGGGTGATTGTAGTGGTGCCTTCTGAGTCACTGTACAAGTTACCATCCATAACGCACTTGGGATGGTACTTGGCACACAGTAGGTGCACGGAGAAGGCTTGTGTCCCAAGCTCAGCGTCATTATTTAGCCAGATCTTCCCCTGCATAGTAGCGCCCACCCCGCTGGCAGGATAGGAGTATGGAGGATGGGCACTTCCTCCCTCCCCTTCCACCTGGGGCGGGGACAATCTGCCAGGAGTGCCCCTGTCCCTGAGCTCCGGCCTCCCCCACCACCCCCGGTGACAGAGACAGAGCTGGAGCTGGGCTGGGTAGCAAAAGCTGCAGACAGGGGGCTGGGCTGCCACCTCAGGGTTGCCCCCACACTGCACACCTCTAGGGGATGCCATCTACATTAACAGCCCATGGTGGCCCCTGCCCAGGGCCAAGGCACAACTCTGGAGGAGACAGGCCAGGGCTCCCTGAGATCCTGTTTGCCCACCAAAGGCTGCTTCAAAGGCCCGAAGAATAAGCCTGACAAGGCAGAGACAGAGGCATGGCTGAGAAGGGCCTGGGAGCCCAGTTTGCCAGTGGGGGCCCAGCCTGGGGGGGCCACGGGTTTTCCCTTCTCCTGGAGCACAGTGGCCTAGTTTTCTCCTGGAGACGGAAGAGACCCAGAGAAAAGCTTCACGCTGTCCCTCCTTCAAAGCCATCTCACACCCACACAACCCTGCACCCCTCCCCAGAGGCCAGAGCTGCAGGAACCCGAGCGAGAGTATGGTTTCCTCTCAGCCTCGCCCCTAAGAAACTTCCGCTCAGCAGCAGCTGCGGCCAGGCCAGCTCAAGGCGAGATATCAGCCAGTCCTTGCGAAACCTCCCTGCACGGTGGAGACAGACAGAGACAGGGCACCAGGCCAGGTCCCTTCCAGTGGAGGGGGCAGCAAGTGAGCAGAGGCGAGCAGAGGGGTGGGAATCACAGGGGAGAACAGTGACTAGGGAGAGTGATAGAGAAGTGTGTACCACTGCTGTGTGCATGTGCAAATGTGCCTGTGTGCACATGCGTATGTGTGCTGCACGCTCAAGTGTGTAGCATGTGTGCAAGTGTGTAGGTGGGTGTGTGCAAATGTGTGAGCAGGCGTAGCTGTGTGCAAATGTGTAAGTGTGCACTGCATAGGCACAAAGGATGTGTGTCAGTGTACAAGTGCTGTGTATACAAGTTTGTGGCTGTGTGTGCAAATGCATGCTGGTGTGTCTGTGCCTGTGTGCAAATGGGTGTGTGCAAGTGTGCAGGTGTGTCACACAGGTGCAAGGGTGTATTTCTGCAAATGCACATGTGTGCAAGTGTGTGGGTATGCGTGCAAATGGGTGCTAGTGCACAGGTGTGTGGGTGTGCAAGTGTATGCAAACACATATATGTGCACATGTGTTCAATGCGTGTGTGTGCAACTGTGCACATGTGTGCAAGTGTGTGTGTGAGTGCCCTGGAAAAGAGAGAGGGAGAGGAAGAGAGAAGGAAGAGCAGAAACATACCTATGGTAAAAGCCAGTACTGCCCAGCAGATGTGTCCAACGGAGAGCACCAAGAGGCAGGACCAGCCTCTCTTTGTTCCTATCTCAGTAGCAGGATGTAGCAGTACAATGACTTGTGTTGCTTGCCTGGCAGATCACACAGGTCACAGATGCCTCCTCGTCACAGGATGTGGTCGCTGCACCCTGTCCTAACTCCAGTCCTTTCCCTCACCTTCCCCAGCTAACCCCTTCCCTCCAAGCCCCCTGCCCCGATCGCTGTCAAGGTCAGCAGACCATGCCCCATCCATGAGGGAGCCAAGGGTAGTATCTGCTCAATGCCGTCACTCCCTGTGGGCCAGCTTCTCCTCGCCCAGGAACAAGGGGATTTCCTGACTGTCTCTTTAGGAAGGGTGACGTAAGCTGTTTTGCTAGAGTGCAGCCAAAGAGCCTTCCAGGTCTTCATTTATCTAGATGTGGAGTCCTTTGGGAATGAGCATGGCAGGCTTGCTCCTGCCCAGCATCTTGGAAGATCTCAGACCAGTGCTCCCTGTAGACGATTGGCACCTAAGAAACAAAACCCTGCAGAAGGCCTGGCAAGACCACATGTCCCAGGGTGGCCGGTGTTTCCAGCGGTGACACTTGGGATTGAAACCAACCTTTGGAGGGCAAGAGACCCCACAGCAGCAGCTGTGCCACTGACTGGGAAGTGCCCAGCCTTGGCGCTGGAGTGGGGAAATGGCCTGGACATGAAATGTGTGGAGACCTGACCCCTGCGCTGGCCCCTGCAGCAAAGGCAGGCCCAGGCAGGCAGGGACCTGTTTTTCCCAGGGCTCTCCAGGGAGTCCCTGCACAGCCCTCAAGAGCCTACCCAGCATTATCATCCTCAAGGTCAAGAAACTCTCCTTGGGGGAGCCTCCAGAGACAGACAGCCTGGCCATGCCCTGGCAGACCCACTCACTCTACTCCAGGACTTCCAGATTTTGTCTGCGAGTCACGGCACAGGGGAGTCTGCCATCGAACCAGCCACCTGCATCAGAGCCAGTGCCACCTCCTCCTCCGTCCCACTGTAGCTCTTTGAGCCTCAGTTTCCTCATCTGTAAGGTGGGAGGTGAGGATGCCCAATTCAGTGTCTGGTGAAGACAAAATTTATCCCCTCATCCAGGGCTGGCCTGGAGCAGACCCTCCCCCTTCCTCCTCATCTCGGTCCCAGGACAAGCATGGCTTCCCTCCCTAGCCTTCCTCCCTTGGAGCTCCAGGCACTGAGGACTCTTGGCAGATTTCATTCATGTCATTCTCTCTCTCTCTCTCTTTCTCTCCCTCTTTCTCTCTCTTTTTTGGAGACAGGGTCTCACTTTTGTCACCCAGGTTGGAGTGCAGTGGCCTCAGCCTCCCAAGTAGCTGGGATTACAGGTATGCACCACCATGCCTGGCTGCTTTTTGTATTTTTAGTGGACACAGGGTTTTGCCATGTTGGTCAGGCTGGTCTGGAACTCCTGACCTCAAGGGATCTGCCCACCTTAGCCTCCCAAAGTGCTGGGATTCTCTCTCTATCTATCTCTTTCTCCTCTCTCTACCCCATCTCTTTCCCACTGTCTGTCTCTAACCTCTGGGTCTACGTCTCCGTCTCTCCCTGCACCCCCACCTGGACCTCCACCCCCATTCTTCACCAGCTGACTCCTTCATTCATCAGAATGCCACGTAGATATTCCTCCCTCCTGGAAAACTTTCCTGCCTCCAAGCCCCGATGGGGTTGGAGCTTGTATGTGTCCTAGGGGCTTGTATGTGTCCCAAACTTTCCCTATCTTCCCATCAATCGTGGTAAGCTAGAATTACCTGATAATCTGCCTGCCTCTTTCTTGGGCTACAGTCCCCTTGAGAGCAAGACTGGGTCCAGTAGACTGTTGTATGCCCAGTGCCCAGCACAGGGTAGATGTCCATTAAATATACATGCACCAGCGACCGATTGAGATTGAGACCTAACTGGAAGCATCTTCCAAACGGCTGCTCGGAGAGCAGCCCATCCTGCACCCCAACTCATGCCCCATCCCCCACTCCTCCAGCTCCTCTCCTCCCAAATCCCTGCCATCACAGCCAAGCTCGAGCTCCACGGCAGCTTTGCCATCATCGGATGCAGACTCAGCCGCTGTTGCCATGGAGACCAGCCAGCAGTGAGCTCTGCGCCCTCCTGCTGCAGGGGCCGAGCAGAGCATAGGGACAGCCTGAAGCAGGCAGAGAGAACCCATCAAGAAGGAGGCAGGGGCACGCATGGCTCTGCACCCAGGCAAACCTGGAGTTGGGCCCCATCTGCCCCTACTCTCCCTCCTACACCTGTGACACCGCAGGCAAGTTGCTTCATCTCCCTGAGCCTCCCGTGAAATGCAGATCCCAGTCACACAGTGTTATTGAGGGATGGGATCGACCCATTAGGGCGTGGGGCTGTCTCTGTGTCATTTTGGTGTGCCAACCCCTGCCTTGGCTGTCTGGGGGCTGTTTTGAGTGTTTCTCTCCCCTTGACCTTTGTGTCCAACTCTCCCCACCTCAATTCAGATGATGCTGAAGGAAGGAGAGACTCCATTCCCACGATAGCACAAAAAGATTTTCTGTGACATTTGAAAACAAAGAAGAAGCCTACAGGATTGTTAACCAAATTTTGAACTTGGTCTGGCCCTGAGGGCTACTGATGTGGGGACCACATTGGTTGCTTCCTGCAATGAGCTAAGGGCTATGGGCAACTCTACTCACAAAGAGCTTAAGGTGGCATCTCACTTGCAGGACAGCCTCCAGGTCTCACTGGAGTCAGGGAAAGTGACGTTTGTCCTGTCTCCTTGTTGCTTTAAATGGTAGCTATCTCTGGAGATGGCTGAATGTCCCTGTGTCCACTGGGGACTTTGGGGACAGAAACATGCCAAGATGCTACAACCAGCCCTGGGCACAAAGCCAGCTCTCCAGCTTTCCATGCCCCGCATTAGTCCTGGCATGGAGCTGAACGCCTGTGTCTGAGGTGGACCCAGGCCCTGATGCAAAATGTGCCACCTACCTCCTTCTCCCAAATGTCAGCTTGACCCAGCTGAAAGGCAGAGAAAACTTGGCAGTGTTCCCAAAGGGGATAGGAAATTGTCTCTATTGTTAAATGGATGGATGGATGGATAGATAGATAGATAGATGAGTGGATGGGTGAAAGGGTGGATGGGTGGATGGATGAACGCATGGATGATTGGATGGATGGGTGGACGGGTGGTTGAATGGGTGGATGACTAGGTGAAAGAATAGATGAATGGATGGATGGGTGGGTGAGTGGATGGATGGATGGATGGATGGATGGATGGATGGATGGATGCATGCATGCATGCATGGATGGGCGGGTGGGTGGATGGATGGGTGGGTGGAGGATTGGATGGATAGATGGATAGATGAGCAGATGGGTGGGTAGGTGGGTGGCTAGAAGGAAGGGAGGAAAGGAAGGAATACAAGAGCCATTCTTGGTGTAAAGGCCCACAGAGGTCAGGAGTTCAAGGCCAGCCTGGCCAACATGGTGAAACCCCATCTCTACTAAAAAGAGAAACAATTAGCCAAGCCTGGTGGTGTGGGCCTGTAATCCCAGCTACTCAGGAGGTTGAGGCGGGAGAATCACTTGCACCTGGGAGGTGGAGGTTGCAGTGAGCAGAGATTGTGCCACTGCACTCCAGCCTGGATGACAGAGTGAGACTCTGTCTCAAAAATAAATGAAGGAAAAGAAGGAAGGAAGGAAGGAAGGAAGGAAGGAAGGAAGGAAGGAAGGAAGGAAGGAAGGAAGGAAGGGAGGGAGGGAGGGAAACAAGGAAGGAAGGAAGGAAAGAAGGAGAGAGAGGGAAAGAAAGAAAAAAGAAAGAAGAAAGAGAAAGAAAGAAAGAAGAAACGAGAAGGAAGGAAGGAAGAAAGAAGAAAGAAAGGAGAAGGAAGGAAGGAAGGGAGGGAGGGAGGAAAGAAAGAGAAGAAAGGATGGAAAGAAAGAAGGAGAGAGGGAAAGAAAGAAAGAAAGAAAGAAAGAAAGAAAGAAAGAAAGAAAGAAAGAAAGAAAGAAAGAAGGAAGGAAAGGAAGGAAGGAAGGAAGGAAGGAAGGAAGGAAGGAGACAAAGTGGGGAAGATTGCACCAGGATTGCCTCAGATGGGTCTTGCTATGAATAAAATTCAATAATACCAAAAAGAGCCTTACAAAGAGATAGAGAGAGAGATAAGGTTGAAGAGACTTTTTGTGTGCTTCATGAATGAAGCACACTAAGGAAAAAAAGGTTCAGAAATTTTAGAAAACAAAGTGGCTGAACATAGATTTTGGAGAGGATAATAAAAATAAATATTACCGTAAACTCCTAGAAAACCTGGTAGTTTTCCTTCAAGAACTTCAGTTAACTCTGGAGTGAGCCGTGAAGCTGTGTCTGATTCCGTAATTTCACGAAGGAAGGAAGGAAGGAAGGAAGGAAGGAAGGAAGGAAGGAAGGAGACAAAGTGGGGAAGATTGCACCAGGATTGCCTCAGATGGGTCTTGCTATGAATAAAATTCAATAATACCAAAAAGAGCCTTACAAAGAGATAGAGAGAGAGATAAGGTTGAAGAGACTTTTGTGTGCTTCATGAATGAAGCACACTAAGGAAAAAGGTTCCAGAAATTTTAGAGGAAAACAAAGTGGCTGAACATAGATTTTTGGAGAGGATAATAAAAATAAATAATGCCGTAAACTCCTAGAAAACCTGGTAGTTTTCCTTCAAGGGCTTCAGTTAACTCTGGAGTGAGCCGTGAGCTGTGTCTGATTCCGTAATTTCACGGAGCAGGACACTGAGCCAAGGGCCATTGAGACTTGCCTGTGACTCGGAGCTGGTGAAACACAACAGTAAGGTGTTTATTGGAGAATTTTGAGTATGACTAAGTCATTCTTTACAGAGCTTAGCATTTTCATCACCTGTTTTAGGATGAGAAAACAGCATCAACAGCATTCGGCACGATCGACAGGTTGTGTTTGCTGTTTGCTTATACCTCCTGAAAAGGGACTGTCATGTAAGTTTTATTATAATTCCCCTCGAAGCAGCCACAGGTGATCACTGGCTCACCGACAACGAGGAGGTGATGCAATGGGCGCAGTCATTCCTCACGGCCATCAGCGTGTGCAGCTTGGGGAAGCACCACAGCACCAGGCGTGGCTCAGTTGACCCGCTGAAGGTTCCAGATCATGGAGGCAGAGAGGAGAAGCTGGTGACAGA